CAGATACTCTTCTCTTTGTTGCTGTCAAGAGGAGAGATTCTATATTTCAGTGGCATTTTCCCCTCATGATGCTAAAAGCTGTGGGAGCAGGAGACGTGGGGAGGTCAGAGCCTGAATGGCAGTGATGGATAAAAAGACATTATCCAGGTTTTACACACTGGGAACTAAAGCACAGAAGAGAAAGTGATGCATGAGATCCCCCAAAAGTCTCCAGCAGAGAGAGAAGACTTAACCCTGAGTCCCTGAAGGCAGAGCCCAGCACATCACCCAGAATCAATTTCTTTCTCCTTGTGTGTATTTGCAATTATTTTGGAGTTTCCTCTTCTGGAGAGGAAAGCAGTAAGAAATTAAAGTGTAAAAAGCTGTGAACTGGTCCCTGATGTTACCCGTGGGGCACAGCAAACATTTCATCCTGCATCCCTCTTCCAACTAAGAGGGTTGGTTGTATTTTTTCACCCCAGCAGAGCTCTCTGGGAGCTTCTCCCCTGCAAATCACACGGTGCTGGGTAAGGCCTGGGCATGTCAGAGGTTTATTTCTCATGTTCAGGTTGCACTGGAGCCACAACAGAGCCTGTGACCTCAGAGATTGATTCTTCTCCTTGCACTATTCAATCATCCCAGCCCCTCAGCAGTCCCTGGGCTCCAGCAGGGATTGGGCAGGACGTGCTGTCCTACACCTGGATCCGTCACAGAGGTTTATTTATGGGCAACAAGGCAGGTTTTGTTTCATATTCCAGAGTTCTGGTCATTTGCACCCATCGATTTACAAGGCACAGTCTGTCAAGAGGCACCAACGTGGCAGTGAATTGCAAAATGATTGAAGCCATTGGTGGCAATAAGTGTGTTCAGTTTTTCTCAGGTTTGATGGAACGAAATTCCCTTCTGCTTGGAGTGAGATCTTTTCACTGAATCCCAGAATCACCAAGGCTGGAAAAGACCTTTCAGATCATCAAGTCCAGCCTATGACCTGACACGACCACATCAGCCAGACCAGGGCACCAAGTGCCACATCCAGCCTGTCCTTGAACACCTCCAGGGATGGTGCCTCCACCACTTCCCTGGGTAGCCCATCCCAAGGTCTGAGCACCCTTTCCATGAGGAAGTGCTTCCTGATATCCAACCTAAGCCTCCCCTGGAGCAGCTTCAGGCCAGGCCCTCTTGTCCTGTCCCTGGTTGCCTGGAAAAAGAGCCCGACCCCACCTGCCTCCAACCTCCCTTCAGGTGGTTGTAGAGAGTGAGAAGGTCCCCCCTGAGTCTCCTCTTCTCCAGGCTGAACAAGCCCAGCTCCCTCAGCCTCTCCTCATCAGCCTTTCCCTCCAGCCCCTTCCCCATCCTCGTTGTCTCCCCTGGACCTGCTCCAGCACCTCCAGCTCCTTCTTGCAGTGAGGGGCCCAGAGCTGGACACAGGGCTGGAGCTGAGGCCTCCCCAGGGCTGAGCACAGGGGGACAATCAGCTTGCAGCAAGCCAGAAGAAATCCCAAACAAGCCCATGATTCTTATCTGGCACCATGTGGAGATCACTTAAAACAAGTGAAATTCCTCTGTTCAGGCTGGGAGGTGATCAGGGCCAGTGGAGCAAGGGGTTGGCCACCCCTTCCCCAGCCACTGGGCATTCTGTTGGCCCAGGAGGACTGATGCTCAACTTGGTATGAATGGGTTATGAAGGAGGAGGAGGGGAAGAAGCAGTGGATGGCTGCTGATCTGCTGGGCTGCTCTTCCAGCATTCCAGTTTGAGATGCCTCCCTCTTTAAGCTCAGAGTGTGCTCAGGGGGGTTTCATGTCCATGCAACGCAGGGTCCCCCTTTGCCCATGGAACTGGCCAACTCCAAAGCCAGCTCCAAATTACATTTTTCATTCAAGGCCCTTTAATGATGTGGGTTCTGATTGTTTTTTTGCTGCCACAGCTCCTTCTGTGGGCTTTGTTGCCAGGGATGATGGATTTAAACTGTCTCCAGTGAGACTTAAAGAAATGGGAATGACTCATTGACTGTGAAATGGTCCTTTCTAGATGTCCAGAGGAGAAAGGAAGATAGATGGGTTCTGAAAGGCTTCCTTGGACCTCAAAAAGGGACTTCAGTGTCCTCATGGTGCATGGGAGAAATGGGGACTCTGAACACCCAGATGGAGTTCAGTGCTCTGGGCTTTAAAACACGGAGCAGATCGTCCCCGTCTCCCTCCTCTTCTTATCTCCACGGCCAAATAGAATTACAGCTTGACTGAAATTGCTGTAAATGAATTCTGGAGAGTAGGAAAACGGTGTGTGTGTATATCTCTGCTGCAGAAATGAGCTGACTCTGGCATTTTTGGGTGATGGGTCCATCCATCTCCACAGCCTGCAGGGAGGCAGCAGCGCTGGGGCGCTCGAACCCGGGGCTGGAGAGATAATTCTTTCCCCCCTCATAACCAAGGTGAGGTTTCCTGCTTTCTGCTGTGGCCCAATAAGCACCCCTAGACCTTGATCCTGCATGATCCAAAAGTTCTGCCCCCCTCCAGGGAAGGAAATGTCCCTGGGAGGTCTCCCAGCTGGAAGGTGGGTGGCAGCTGGACAAATAGATCTTCCAAATCACCTTCCTGGAATCATCTCTTTACACTGGGAGCTGAAAATTAGAGGCTGTGTAAATAAATCCATCACCCCCTTGCTGATAGTTCCATTTTCTTTGTGGTAAAAGCCTCAGTGAGCAGGGAGGGGCTGAGGGAAAGGTTGGGATGTGCTGGGGAGGTGGCATCCCAGTTATTCCCACTCACCCTGGGTGGATTGTCGCTCTCATTTCTCTCTTGACTTCTCCGGTTCATTATTTCCAGCAGTATTTGCCAGGCTGTGGATTTCTCTGCCACGTTCCTTGGTTAAAATAAAGAAAGGAAGAAAGGGGGAGAGAGAGAGAAAGAGAGAGAGAGAGAGAGAGAGAGAGAGAGAGAGAGAGAGAGAGAGAGAGAGAGAGAGAGAGAGAGAGAGAGAGAGAGAGAGAGAGAGAGAGAGAGAGAGAGAGAGAGAGAGAGAGAGAGAGAGAGAGAGAGAGAGAGAGAGAGAGAGAGAGAGAGAGAGAGAGAGAGAGAGAGAGAGAGAGAGAGAGAGAGAGAGAGAGAGAGAGAGAGAGAGAGAGAGAGAGAGAGAGAGAGAGAGAGAGAGAGAGAGAGAGAGAGAGAGAGAGAGAGAGAGAGAGAGAGAGAGAGAGAGAGAGAGAGAGAGAGAGAGAGAGAGAGAGAGAGAGAGAGAGAGAGAGAGAGAGAGAGAGAGAGAGAGAGAGAGAGAGAGAGAGAGAGAGAGAGAGAGAGAGAGAGAGAGAGAGAGAGAGAGAGAGAGAGAGAGAGAGAGAGAGAGAGAGAGAGAGAGAGAGAGAGAGAGAGAGAGAGAAAGGAAGGAAGGAAGGAAGAAAGAAAGAAAGAAAGAAAGAAATTTTTATCTCCTCTTACATTTATTTTTTTCCTTTCAGACTAGACCTGAAGGGGTGTTTAACTCTAGGAGCAAATCCAAACCTGGGCGTGGGTTCCTCTTTCAGAGCAGGTCTGGTTTTTTTGCTCTACAAACAGCAGCAGGTGACATTTACTTAATCAGTCTCCATCAAAATGGAAAGTTTATTGTCAACAGTTCCTTGGTGATGCACAAATCCTTCTGTGCAGGGCACCTGGTAAAGTGTTGCTTGTGGAGCAGATGTTAGTCTAAGAAAGGAGAGAAGATGTTCCTCAAAGGCAGCAGATAAGACACCTCCAGTGTTCAGGTCGATCACAGAACAGCTTTGAGCTGAACATCTGAAGCAAGCATGGAAAGAAACCCAAAAAAGCAGCTGTGGCAGAGCACAAGGGTATTCCCTGGGGAGTCTGGGGAAGGACTTTTTGCAAGGGTGTGGAGTGATGGGACAAAGGGGAAGAGTTTCATCCTGAAAAGGGAGATTTAGATGAGATATTAGGGAGAAATTCTTCACAATGAGGGTGGTTGGATGCTGCCCAGTGGCCCAGGTTGCCCAGAGAAGCTGTGGCTGCCCCATCCCTGGAGGTCTGCAAGACCAGGTTGGATGGGGCTTGGAGCAGCCTGGGCTGGTGGGAGGTGTCCCTGCCCATGCAGGGGGGTTGGAACTGGATGATCTTGAAGATCCCTTCCAACCTTCACCATTCTGTGATTCTATGATTCTATGACATGGTCAGTGGTGGCCTTGGCAGTGCTGGGTTAACAGTTGGGCTTGGTGATCTGAAAGGTCTTTTCCAACCCAAACAATTCCTTGGTTCTGGGAAGATGAATGCCAGGGCTGGGGAACTCCTCAAGGCACAGAGTCATGTTGGCACATGAAGAATCAAACAAAAAACCATCAGAGGATGAGTTGATGCTGGAAATTAGATCCCAAACTTGAACTTCACTGTTTAAAAAGTGCAGGGTCCAGTTACTGTGATTGAATATAAGGGATGAAGGCTGCAGAGTTAGAGCTGCACGGACACCTCTCCAAGAGAGGTGATGCTCTCTTGGGCATAAACTCCAGGTGTTTTTTTAAAGGAGGCCTCAATGAGAGGGAAACAGTTGGTCCTTGACCAGCTTGACCTGTTGTCTGCTTTTAATTGCTTTACTGTCTATAAAGAGCTGTGTTTTATTAGCAGGAACCAAGAAAACCTTCCAAATGCCTCCAAAGGGATAAGGGCAGGTAAAAACCCACTTGAGATCCATGGGGAGGACTATGGTGACCAAAAAGGACCATCTTGTTGGTGCCATGTATTGGCTCCTGAGCAGCTCTTCTTTCACTCCAGTCAGAGCAAGAGAAATGTTCCTGGATCCTCCAGCTACAGAGCAATATCTTCCCAAGCAAATGTATTCTAGTGGTTGATGAAACCCCTCAGATTCCCTCTGGGGTTTAATCAAATTGCAGCAGCAGTTTGTTGCTTCATACACTCCTGAATTCTCTGTTATTCCTCAGCCAAAGGTGGGAGTGGACAGAGCTGTTCAGGGTGGAAGCAGACAAGATGCTGAGCAGCCTTGATGGAGGATGTCACAAATTTGTACTCTCTTCTCTTGCTAGCTGTGTCTCCTGGCCAGGACAGCCATGCCAGTATGGAACACCTTCCTGCATCTGAGCAGATCCTGCAAACCCTGGGTGAGCTGGCCAGGTCTTTCCAAGAGATGGCTGATCGTTGCCTGCTGGTCCTGCATTTGGAAGTCAGGTAAAAACCCTGGATTCATGGATTCTGGGTGAGTCTGGGAGCCTAAAGGTTCAGGTGGTGTCCAGGGTACATATTGTGGCACCTGAGACAGATTCATTGCCTGCTGCGGCATCAAAGGGCAGTCCAGAAATGCCAGATTCCATCACCACAAATGGCAAAATGGGGGATGGAGGTGGGATACTGGGAGTGGAATTTCCTGGGCAGGTCTGTGTCTGGTGTGTCAGAGACCAGGACAAATGGGGCTGGGGGATGCTTTGCCATTAGAAAACTGCACAATGGGGTTTTAATAGTCTAACAGGTGTTTGCACATATATTAACCACCTATTAACCACCACATATATTAATCTTTGGATTGCAAAGAAGAGCTTTTCTTCCTGCTTTTTCAAATAGTAACAGAAACTTTGAAACCAGCTGGATTGTTTCTTTCAAGGGAAGGATTGTTTTGTGATGTCTCTGACTTCAGATGCAAAGTCCTAAGGCAGCAAACCCCTTTCTTCAGGCTGCCAGTCCCCTGGGGCTGGGAAGACTTTTCTCCCTTCTGTATTGGATCAGCCAGGTGGATTTTCATGGCTCATCTTTTCTCTGAAGCATCAGGTGGGAGCAGATCAGGCAAGGAGACTTGATGGACCTTCAGTTTGTTCTGCTGTGACATATCCTGAGCCACCTTGTGTCCTTGGCAGAGCTCTGGTGAAGTCACTGTGCAGCTTTAAAAATAAACACAACACATCAGTTATGGTCAGCAGCCCTTCAACCTGCCATCCATCATCTGCTGGCCACTTGGTGGCAGGGATCACAGATGAGCTGGGCTTGGAAGGAGTAGAGGAAAAGATGGGTAAGGTATGGAAAAAAGATGGGTAAGGTATAGAAAAACACATGGTTAAGGTATGGAAAAACAGATGGTTAAGGTATGGAAATGGAGCAGCTTTCCAGCTCTGATGTAAAGGGAGGTGATACCTGAGGTCACCCAGAGCCATGGTGTGGGCACCAGCCTAAAAGGGTTTCTGGCCTCAGTCCTCTGTGGCTTTGCCCTCACCCGTGGGTGAAGCAGAAATAATTGCCAAGGTAATTCAGGAGAAAATATTGCTGTCATTTTAGAGCAGATCTTGTCCTCCAGTGCTCTGACAGGAGCCCCAGTTTGATGCTATAGATGCACCAAAGCGTGGTGCTCTGCAATGGGTAGAGAGGGTTGAGGATTCTTTAAGGATTCCTTGAGGATTCCCTGAGGAAAGGATTCCTGCCAACAACCAGGACAATCCCCAGCAGGGCAGGAGCTTCCCCATATCCATCACTCTGCCTTTTCAAGCACTGCAGAAGAAATCCCAGACCCCCTGGTGGTTGGGACAGGTTTCTCTGAGGTTCCTACAGCTACCACTGGTGGGTTTCCTTCAGGTTCTGACACCAGCTCCCTGGCTCCCATTGCCCAGGTGTGTAGGACAAGGTGTGTTCATTCCCAAGAACCCCATCCAGGCACTCAGAGCACATTTGGAAAGAGGGATCTATCCAGCCTCTTGTTGGTTATGGTGTGAGAAAACCCCAGCCAAGAGCAAAGAGGTTTTGAGACAATTGCAGTGATTCCCAAATCTGTTGGTGCCTTCAGATGATGAACCATTAATTTTGTTACAACTAACTGTGGGGTTTGAAGTCACTTCATGTCTGTTACAGTTGGGGAGGGACTTCTTACTTGGGCTTGTAGTGAGAGGATGAGGGGGGATGGATTAAAACTGGAAGAGGGGAGATTTAGGTTGGACATTAGGAAGAAATTCTGGGCTGTGAGGGTGGGGAGAGCCTGGCCCAGGTTGCCCAGAGAAGCTGTGGCTGCCCCATCCCTGGCAGTGTTGAAGGGCAGGTTGGATGGGGCTTGGAGCAGCCTGGGCTGGTGGGAGGTGTCCCTGCTCATGCAGGGGGGCTGGAACTGGATGATTTTTAAGGTCCCTTCCAACCCAACCCATTCCATGATTCTATGAAAAAGCCCTACATGGAATTATAAAGGAGCAGGCACTGAAGAGTAAAGACAGATGTTTTCACTCTTGGAATTGCCCTGAATTGAACTTTGGCCACCTCAAAGATGTTTCCAGGAGGATGGGGGTCATGACAGCCAGGACATACCCAGCCCAGCTTTGCCCAGCCCAGCTCCCTGCTGGTCAAGCCAGTCCAGTGTGACCTTCCTGTCTCAGTGTGCTGATCCTGACACCTGCTTCCAGTGCAGGAGACATTTCACGCAGACATCAGCTTGGCCACGTTTCTCTGACAGATCCAATTCAGAAGAACCCACCCAACTCACTCCTCTTGAGTGAAACCCAAGAATTACAAAAATGGAAGGAGTTTTGCTTTCCACTTTTCTGGGCAAAGCCCTTTCCTCCTCAGCTTTGAGAGAAACCACTTGATTGCAGCTTTTTGCAGAACCCCAAGAGGTGACTTGGATGCACAGAACTTCTCCTTCAGTGGAGGGATGATGGTTGGGCACCTGGTCTACCAGGCAGGTGAACAGAAAAGAAAAATGTTGTTAAATTCCTGGGAACGGACACAGCCTTGGCCTGCTAAGGATCATGTCACAGAGTCATCAGGGTTGGAAGGCACCTCTGGAGATCATCTAGTCCAACCCCCCTGCTAGAGCAGGATCACCTACAGCAGATCACACAGGAACACATCCAGACAGGTTTTGAATGTCTCCAGAGAAGGAGGCTCCACCACCTCCCTGGGCAGCCTGTCCCAGGGCTCTGTCACCCTCCCAGGAAACAAGTTCTCCCTGATGTTCAGCTTGAGCCTCCTGTGCTCCAGCTTGTGCCCATTGCCCCTTGTCCTGTCACTGGGCACTGATGAGGAGAGTCTGGCCCCATCCTGCTCTGTAGATATTGATCAGCACTGATGAGAACCCCCCTCAGCCTCCTCCTCTCCAGGCTGAGCAGCCCCAGATTCCTCAGCCTTTCCTCACAGGGCAGATGCTCCAGTTCCCTGATGATCCTTCTTGGCCCTGCACTGGACTCTTCCCAGCAGTTCCTCATGTCCCCTGGCTCACTCCTCCTGCCAGTCTACACCTTTATGGTACACAGAAGGGGTTTTATGAGCACTGGTGTCCAAGAGCTACTGAACCAGCATGTCTGAGGTTGGGGAACCAGGTGAAAAGGCTCTTGACCACTTTACTGGGACGATGTAGGTCAGACCTGTTAATTAAAAGTCCTTTGTCGTGACCTGTCAAGATGAGATCATGACCTGCCAAGGGGAGAATGTGTTTAAAACAGACAGAACCACCCATTTCTTAGAATTTTGGTTATTTCCTTGAACGTTGGAAGGATGATGAGGCAACACCCCCTCGGACACGCCGCCGGTTCGCGGCAACACCCGTCGACACGTTAACACCAGGATTGTTGGGTTGTACCATCTCTCTCTTCTCTCTCACAGAGTTCATTGCTTCCACTACCTGATCCCACTGGCCAAACAAGGGAATTATGCCATCGTTGCCAACGTGGAGAGCATGGACTATGACCCTCTGGTGGTGAGGCTCAACAAGGACATCAGCGCCATCGAGGAGGCCATGAGCGCCAGCCTCCAGCAGCACAAGTTCCAGTACATCTTTGAAGGTCAGGCCCTTACCAGGAGAGTTTCATCCTTACAAAGTGTTTTCTCACTCTCACCCCAAAGCCCAACACTGTTCCTCTGAGGGGGGGTGGGTAAGGCAGACTGTGATCCTGTTGCCACTTAGAGCAGATTGAAAAGTTGAGACTCATGCAGACCCGGGGCACTCAAACCCCCTGTTGCTTCCACAGCATTTCTGAGGGTGTGTGGCTGAGCAGGAGAATCACAGAATTATCTGGGTTGGAAAAGACCTTTGAGATCCCCCACTCCAACCATTAACCCAGCCCTGCCAAGGCCACCCCTGCCCCATGTCCCTCAGCACCATCTCCAGGGCTTGGAAACCCCTCCAGGGATGGGGACTCCCCCCCTGCCCTGGGCAGCCTGGGCCAGGCCCTGACAACCCTTGCCAGGCAGGAATTGTTCCCCAGATCCAACCTCAACCTCCCCTGGCACAACTTGAGGCCGTTCCCTCTTGTCCTGTCCCTTGTTCCTGGGGAGCAGAGCCCGACCCCCCTGGCTCCAACCTCCTCTCAGGCAGCTGCAGAGCCAGAAGGTCTCCCCTCAGCCTCCTTTGCTCCAGGCTCAACCCCCCCAGCCCCCTCAGCTGCTCCTCACAAGTTCTCCAGACCCCTCTCCTTGTCCTCCAGACCCTTCATTTTTTTGATTCCCCAGTTCTCCTTCCAAACACACATGCTTCAGTTCAGCTGGCAAAGCCCTTTCCTCCTCAGCTTTGAGAGAAACCACTTGATTGCAGCTTTTTGCAGAACCCGAAGAGGTGACTTGGATGCACAGAACTTCTCCTTCAGTGGAGGGATGATGGTTGGGCACCTGGTCTACCAGGCAGGTGAACAGAAAAGAAAAATGTTGTTAAATTCCTGGGCACAGACACAGCCTTGGCCTGCTAAGGATCATGTCATAGAGTCATCAGGGTTGGAAGGCACCTCTGGAGATCATCTAGTCCAACCCCCCTGCTAGAGCAGGATCACCTACAGCAGATCACACAGGAACACGTCCAGACAGGTTTTGAATGTCTCCAGAGAAGGAGACTCCACCACCATCACACAGGAACACATCCAGACAGGTTTTGAATGTCTCCAGAGAAGGAGGCTCCACCACCTCCCTGGGCAGCCTGTCCCAGGGCTCTGTCACCCTCCCAGGAAACAAGTTCTCCCTGATGTTCAGCTTGAGCCTCCTGTGCTCCAGCTTGTGCCCATTGCCCCTTGTCCTGTCACTGGGCACTGATGAGGAGAGTCTGGCCCCATCCTGCTCTGTAGATATTGATCAGCACTGATGAGAACCCCCCTCAGCCTCCTCCTCTCCAGGCTGAGCAGCCCCAGATTCCTCAGCCTTTCCTCACAGGGCAGATGCTCCAGTTCCCTGATGATCCTTCTTGGCCCTGCACTGGACTCTTCCCAGCAGTTCCTCATGTCCCCTGGCTCACTCCTCCTGCCAGTCTACACCTTTATGGTACACAGAAGGGGTTTTATGAGCACTGGTGTCCAAGAGCTACTGAACCAGCATGTCTGAGGTTGGGGAACCAGGTGAAAAGGCTCTTGACCACTTTACTGGGACGATGTAGGTCAGACCTGTTAATTAAAAGTCCTTTGTCGTGACCTGTCAAGATGAGATCATGACCTGCCAAGGGGAGAATGTGTTTAAAACAGACAGAACCACCCATTTCTTAGAATTTTGGTTATTTCCTTGAACGTTGGAAGGATGATGAGGCAACACCCCCTCGGACACGCCGCCGGTTCGCGGCAACACCCGTCGACACGTTAACACCAGGATTGTTGGGTTGTACCATCTCTCTCTTCTCTCTCACAGAGTTCATTGCTTCCACTACCTGATCCCACTGGCCAAACAAGGGAATTATGCCATCGTTGCCAACGTGGAGAGCATGGACTATGACCCTCTGGTGGTGAGGCTCAACAAGGACATCAGCGCCATCGAGGAGGCCATGAGCGCCAGCCTCCAGCAGCACAAGTTCCAGTACATCTTTGAAGGTCAGGCCCTTACCAGGAGAGTTTCATCCTTACAAAGTGTTTTCTCACTCTCACCCCAAAGCCCAACACTGTTCCTCTGAGGGGGGGTGGGTAAGGCAGACTGTGATCCTGTTGCCACTTAGAGCAGATTGAAAAGTTGAGACTCATGCAGACCCGGGGCACTCAAACCCCCTGTTGCTTCCACAGCATTTCTGAGGGTGTGTGGCTGAGCAGGAGAATCACAGAATTATCTGGGTTGGAAAAGACCTTTGAGATCCCCCACTCCAACCATTAACCCAGCCCTGCCAAGGCCACCCCTGCCCCGTGTCCCTCAGCACCATCTCCAGGGCTTGGAACCCCCTCCAGGGATGGGGACTCCCCCCCTGCCCTGGGCAGCCTGGGCCAGGCCCTGACAACCCTTGCCAGGCAGGAATTGTTCCCCAGATCCAACCTCAACCTCCCCTGGCACAACTTGAGGCCGTTCCCTCTTGTCCTGTCCCTTGTTCCTGGGGAGCAGAGCCCGACCCCCCTGGCTCCAACCTCCTCTCAGGCAGCTGCAGAGCCAGAAGGTCTCCCCTCAGCCTCCTTTGCTCCAGGCTCAACACCCCCAGCTCCCTCAGCTGCTCCTCACAAGTTCTCCAGCCCCTTCTCCTTCTGCTCCAGCCCCTTCCCCAGCTCCGGGGCCCTTCCCTGGACACGCTCCAGCCCCTCCAGGTCCTTCTTGTCCTGAGGGGCCCAGCCCTGACCCCAGGATTCCAGGTGCCCCCTCCCCAGTGCCCAGCACAGGGGGACCATCCCTGCCCTGCTCCTGCTGCCCACCCCAGTGCTGACACAGAATCACAAGTGCTGGGAAGGACAGCAGAAAGCTGGTGGAGATGTGGGGCAGCTGCTCCTCAGGAAGCCTTGGGCACGTGTGTGCATCCCAAGCACAGCTCCATTGCAGAGCAGCCCCTGTCTGCAATGGACTCGTTCCATTTCTAAAATTACATTTAGAGAACATTAGCTCTTCTGATGTCTCATCTGTCCTGATTACCTTGGAGAATATAAATCATGTCTTGGTTCATCTCCCCTGTGTTTGCTGGTGGCACTGACACACAGTTCTCTTGCCCGTGTCCTTTTATGTGGTCGTTGAGGAGGTGGAGCCTGGAGATGCACCCATGGCCCACTATAATATGTCTGCAGGGATGGAGGTTCTGCAAACCCAGCTGGCCTTGTTTTGGCTACTTCCTACTGCTCCTGGAGAAGGCTTTTGATGTCTGTCTCCTTCCCCCTGTACCCACGGAGCTCCTGGTGTTTGCTGAGCTGTGTGACTCTGTGGCAGAGGGAGTGACTGGAGCACATGGTAGAGCCCAGGTCTGCTGTGTCTGTTCCAGGAGACAATCAAATGGCTCCAGACAGAGCCTTGAGAACTCTTTGCACCTTGCTGAGCCAGAAGGTTGAGATTCATACATATGGTCTTCATGAAATGTTGGTATCTCTTTAGCCCAGTGTTGGGTTTAACCATATACCCTGTGCAGGAACAAATGTTCTTAATCCAGGCTTTGAATTGATATCTAGTCATGTACAGACCTGGGAACTGACTGAATTAGGCTGGGTTTTCCTACCTGGAATGCAGGGTGAATGGATCCATCAATCTGGGGGTGGCTGTGACTTTTGTCATAGAATCATAGAATCACAGAATCACAGGGGTTGGAAGGGACCTCTGAAGATCATCAAGTCCAACCCCCCTGCCAGAGCAGGAACACCCAGGGCAGATCACACAGGAACGTGTCCTCATGGGTCTGGAAAGTCTCCAGAGAAAGAGACTCCACCACCTCTCTGGGCAGCCTGGCCCAGGGCTCTGTCACCCTCACTGCAAAGACGTTTCTCCTCACATTGAGGTGGAACTTCCTGGGCTGTCACTTGGTGCCGTTTCCCCCCATCCTATCACAGGCACCACTGAAAAGAGACTGGCCCATCTTAACACCCACCCTTCAGATATTTATAGCCATTAGTAGGGTCCCCTCTCTGTCTTCTCTTCTCTAGACTGAACAGCCCCAGGTCTCTCAGCCTTTCCTCATCAGACAGATGTTCCAGCCCCTCAATCACCCTCGTAGCCTCTGTTGGACCCTCTCCAGTAGATCCCTGTCCCTCTGGAACTGGGGAGCCCAGAACTGGACACAATACTCCAAGTGAGGTCTCACCAGGGCAGAGTAGAAGGGGAAGAGAACCTCCCTTGACCTGCTGGCCACACTGTTCTTAATACATCCCAAGATACCATTGGCCCTCTCGGCCACAAGGGCACCTTGTTGTCCCATGGAGAACTTGTTGTCTACCAGGACCCCAAGGTCCTTCTCCACGGGGCTGCTTTCTAGCAGATCAACCCCTAATCCACATCAGTGCCTGGTGTTTTTAGTCCCCAGGTGCAGGACTCTACACTTACTCTTGTTGAACCTCATTAGGTTCCTCTTTGCCCAGCTCTCCAGCCTTTGAGCAGCTGGCTGTGTCCTTCAGCAGCAGAGGAATGATGGAGCCATCCTTCAGGCACAAGAAACTGTTCAGGACTGTTCAGAGAGAGGTTGTGCATCAAGTGCATTCAAATGCAGATCATTTCTGCTCTTGTGGACTCTGGGTTTACCAGGGAAACCCACCACCTTTGATAACAGATGAAAATCCTATCATGTTGTAGGAGCAGGAGTGGTCCATGGCACTGCCCAGAGAGAGGGACTGAAGAGAGACATTATGCAAAGCCTGATTATCAGTCTGGAAGTGCCCTGGAAATACCAAGGGCTGTGAGAATGCAGCTTTGATTTTTTTTGTAGTGTTTGGGGGTGTTTAGGTGTTTTTACCAAAGAAGGAAACCTTGAGGAAAGTCCTCCTGAAATGCACAGGGCTGGTTCCACCTACAATCCAGTGGGTCTCCTGCTCCAGTTCACATGGACCACGTGCTGGTTTTATCACAGGTTTTTTTTATTGTCTGTTTCCCCTCTCACCCTTGCAGGTCTGGGTCACCTTATCTCCTGCATCCTCATCAATGGTGCCCACTACTTCAAACGCATCAGTGAATCTGGCATCAAGAAGATGTGCAGGAACATATTCATCCTCCAGCAAAACCTGACCAACATCACCATGTCACGTGAGGCTGACCTGGACTTTGCAAGGTAAGCAGGGAGAGCCCCACGTTGTGTTTGCTACTGTTCCAATGTCCACGTGTTCAGAGGTAGCTCATTCCAAAAGCTCCACCACTCGTGCCTGCACCTGGAGGGATATTGAGCTCAACCCATGGAGTTTGAATTGTATTGTTCAGTTTCCCTGGTGTTCAGAGGGTCATGGATTGAGTTCATGAGCTCACTGAGCACAAGCTGAAAGTGAAGGTCCCACCAAACTCTCTGTGCTTGGGGCTTCCTGTTGGTGTGGTTCTCCTGAGACCAAAACTCAGGCAAGGAAGGACTTCTACGTATAGATTGGGTGGAACTTAAACAGGATGCAGCATAATCTGGAGCCTCCAACCTAAGGACATGGAGCTGTTGGAGAGAGGCCAGAGGAGGCCACAGAGATGCTGGGAGGGCTGGAGCAGCTCTGCTCTGGAGACAGGCTGGGAGAGTTGGGGTGTTGAGCCTGGAGAAGAGAAGGCTCCAGGGAGACTTTATTGCAGCCTTTAAACACTTCAGGGAGGCCTATGAGAACCTTGGGGACAGACTTTGGAGAAGGGCCTGTAGTGGGAGGACAAGGGGTGATGGTTTTAAGCTGTAAGAGGGGAAATTTAGCCTGGTTATCAGGAAGAAATGTTTTATGAGGATGGTGAGACCCTGACAGGTTGCTCAGCAAGGTCGCAGATGCCCCATCCTTGGCACCATCAAAGCTTAGGTTGCATGGGGCTCTGAGCAACCTGACCCAATTGAAGATGTCCCTGAGGGTTAGACTAGATGACCTTGAAAAGTCCCTTCCCACCAAACCATTCTGTGATTCTATTGGCCTCTCCTCTGGGCCAGCAACTGGTGCAGCTGAGCCCAGGAAACAGTCAAAGGAAGAACCTGGAACTTGCCAGTGAAGGCCTATGGTTAAAATGGCAGAGGTTTGTGTGACACTTGGATCTGACCCACCACAAGCACTGGCAATGGATGGTGTCACCCTTTGGCCATTGCTCTTGGAGGCTGAATTATGGTAGATTCATGAGTCCCTGGGATGAGGGAGAGCAGGGATGAGCAAGAGCCTTATTTACTCACTCAGATGGGGAATGATCTCATCATTGAATTAATTTCTTCATAATAACATTGACATGGAGAAGTTATAAATGCTGAGGCCTGGAGGAGGGGGAGAGAGGGAGATGAAAACCCATTACCAGCTCTCCAAGGAGCAGAATTCCCAAATTCAATCTTTCCATTTTTTGAAATGATTTCTTTTTTATTTTTTTTTCCCCCCCTGATCTGTTGAAATGCTCCATGAATGAGCCCACTTTTGGGGGGGGGGCAGAAGAGAGCTTGAGCACGTGCTGCCTGCAGCTGGCACCCAAATAATGAATCCCAGGAACTGCTGGAGGCAGGCACAGCTCACCTGGCCATCTTCTGGAGAGGTCTTTGTGGTAAAGGGGTGAGGAGTCATGGAGCTCTGGCTTGTAGTGCAGCATAATCTGGAGCCTCCAACCTAAGAACATGGAGCTGTTGGAGAGAG